TCCGAAAGTCCTGAGAATTTGGAGTTAGGTAAGTCAATTGAATTTTAAAACTAGAAGGTGGGAAGGTGATTTGTATGTTATGTTAACTGTTACAGCATCATTTATGTCCTTTACGGGCGTTGCTACTTTGTTCCGTGCGTTTATGTTTCGTATACACACCTGAGTGAAAGGAGTTTTTAAAGCACAGTTGCGAATCGCGTTGACTGCATCGAACATTTTCTCAAAAATGGCGAGCTCACCAATAAGTGGAGAACTTAAGACAAATTGCTGTAATTTTTGATAGTGTTCTGACCTTACTCGCTTTGTTGATTATAGCGTAAATCGAATAAATTAACTGTTCAAATTGTTCAACAGTTATGCGAAACGCAGTAATGGATTTGAAAAAAGTGTCAAAAGCCAGGCTTAGGTTTATGGCAATTGTAATACCACGACTTGTAGCAAAGAAGTGGCGCTGTTAAGCAACTTTCACTAGAACGACACTGAGTATAAAGTAATCGGTGAATTGGACATCAGCAGACAAAATAGAGAATAAATGGAGAGGATGAAAGTGGGACATGGAATTTAAAGCGGGAAGGGTGCACAATGGAGGATTTGACTCGGCGATTGTCCATCATGTCCTGAGACTCCATATCGTCTCATATAGAAAATTTCCATTGGCGAATGCGTAACCATTGGCGAATGCATAAAGATAGTGCGTGTGAAAATTATGGTAAGACTGCCGAGAAATAAATTCATGCAATAAGCAAGTATGAACAAAATCAAAAAATGTCAGTCAAACATCTCAATAGTTGGAATGTCTAAAAAGACAACTCGTGACTTCCAGCTATTGAGGTGTTTGAAATTGAGTTCCATTTCCAGAAAAACGCAGCATTTCATTGCTATAAAGGCCACCAATACAAATTCCACGAGGAAATGAAGAAATATTAATGATAAAAATAATGAAGCTGTATGTGCATCTTCGATTTCAATTGCATATTTAATTTGTGGTACTTCATAATAAAAATTACTGAAAGTAAGCAGTTAAGGATCGCTGGAATTTTCTTACACTCTGCTCTTCTCCATCTCTTTCATACAGTCCTGAGAATGAAAACGAAATTTCGAGTGGTGGAACGAATACGTAACATAAGGATGGTTAAGGATGGTTAAGAGAGTGGAAATCTTGACATAGTTTTTGCAGAAAACTAATTTAGATATGAATTAGCAAATATTTGCACGAAGTGACTCCGAGAGATTGTATTTCTTTTAAAAATCTGCAAAACGTATGGACATGTGTCAAGGCACAGCAAACAGAGCGACGCATTGTTTCGATCAACGAGGAACTGTGGAATAAAATGAAATTTCTCCAACGATCGTCGGTATACAGTTTTTTTTGGAAAATTCAGCACACATATTGCATTAAGCATCGCATGAATCGAAACAAATCTCTACTTATCAAGTTCAAAATGGTTACTTTAATTATTATCAACATAAATCAATGACATCAAACCAGAATGAAGTAATTGCTTGTCCAAAGATTCCACATCCAACAATGCTAAAATCCTTGATATTGCTGACATATTTTCAAATTATCTTTATCTGAACAAAGGAAGCTATTTACAATTTCCTTCATAATCTGTGCATTTGGAAGGTAACATGTTTCCTCCGATTCCTCATTATTAAAAGTTTCTAACTGCCCGAAGTCAGTTTCCACTGAAACCTTGCTCATTGCAGAATAAATTCAAATCTTTCTACCGGTTAAATTCAATACTATCATTACGTACTTAATATGTATTTAACATAAGACTTAATAAGTTTGATTGTGAGAGTAGAACTTTTTGATCAATTGTTTAAGCATAAATCAAGACTAACCTCTGCCAGGCAAACTTTTTATTCATGTCCTGAGTGCTTCCAATGATGGATAATAGTTCATATGCTGATTTTTTCTGATTTTTTAACATTTATAGCTATAAGCTCAATTGTTACAAATGCAAAGAAACTCTGCTGCTTTTCCTAGATCCTCAATCAATTTTCCTCTCCATTTTTTCGCTTCTTTAGAGACTTGCGAAAAAAACAAAAATTATTTCCAAAGCAATTTATGAGATTTACAACGACATATGGAAGAAATATAACGCTATATTCAATAACTCATAATATTGATAACGAATTTACGTGGATCTTTCTGCTATCTCGGCGCAACATCTGAAGTGCACCGATATTCCATTCTGGCTTTTTGAACATCTTTTCAATTATTAATAATTATGCCATCTTACGCGTCTTAACTTTTCTGACATTTGTCACAGAATAGATCTTTTCATAGAATCCAATGAATCACCAATTACAACCGGCCTCCGTTTGTAATGAAGTCAGCATTCAGGATTTTTTATCAAACAACGGATTCTATTTTAACAATGTCACTACTTTTGGCAAAATGAAACATAGAAATATAATAATCTTGAACTTCTTTTTCCAGAATTCCTAATTTTGCCTTTTATGTCCGCATTCGGTTGTGTCATCATTTTATATGTTAGAAATTAGATCATTAAATACTGCCAATATGCTGCACCTATAGAGATATTTCCACTTTTTATTTGTATTAAGTTTAATCTTCTGCGATATCCTCATCAAAGAATTCGAATTGTGGACCTCCTTTGATGGTTTCCTAATCAAAAATGTCAAAGTTCCCAATAATGTCAGGCATTCCACCAAACTGAAAACTATTGTTCAGCCTAATTATATGCTTAATACACGACGACCAGTTACAATAGTCACTTGTGTACCGTTATTTCCAATCACAGCATAAGGCAAAGGTTGTAAGGAAGGAAATTCTACTGCTTATATTTTCCATCGTAAACAGAGAATTCGCCATCAAAATGCTCAACAAAATGAGTCGAAACCGATAATAAATCTTTACCATAAAACTTCAACTCTGGTTTACTTACTTTCTTTGTCTTTTGAATACCGTACTATTATTTCAACTTTTTTGCATAACGATCCAACAAGTACCCATAAACAACTGAAGCCGTTACCAACAAACCGTTCCCCAGGCACTGTCCAAACTCATTTAGTTCATACAGACAACAATCCCCGCTTAGCTCATATGAATTGCTGAGCATCAGGTCGCTGCAATCCTTCTTCAATCGAAATGATTAAATGGCTTAAAATCACCATCATATGAGTTAGTAGCTCAATAGCAATAGCAAAGAATCCTTGCACCATTGGATAATTGTTTGATGCAGAGTACGAATTATTTTCACATCACTTTATACTTGCGTCAATCGCCATTTTCGCTACGCTAACTCTGGTCTATCAATGTTGATATTGAAAAATCTCTTTTAAAACTATTATCAGTGTCAATCAGCAATTAACGAAGCTAAACCTTCGCTTTAAATTAAATGTCTTTGATTACGTATTCAGAGTTACTATGCAGGACTTCCTATTGATCATCTCATTTTAGCCTGTATCAATATTATGATAATATGCCACATTTCAAGCTGTTCCATCTCAGCATATCCCCAAATTCAGTCACCACCTAATGAAACGGATGCTGATAGAGGTGTTTAATAATGAAAACAAACTATGCAGGAATTCCAGATTTCACCATAAACATTCACGATAATAACATTTCATTCCTTTTCACCCATATGACTCTTCACACATAAAAGTTCAAGCTTAATTTAACAAACCTTCCAATAAGTTTACATTAATTTTAGCTTCAATAAATGCTATGATATACTGTTTATCCCATAAATGTATTAAATTACGTACAAACACGCACACACACACACATACACACACAGACACACACACACACAGAGAACACAAGAAGTCTTATGCAATAATTGAAACGTTCGAGTGAAGTCATATAGTAGCATTGCCATTCAAAGAGACCACCAAGAGAGTGAGACCACACACGAAGTTTGATCTGTGTCAAGATAGCGTGCTGCCCCACGAGACAAGAGATAAAATATGTGCGTGATTGATATGCAAGCTAGGCGATTGATGTGCTACTTGTACAGAGTGCACGTGTGCTTGCTCTAATCAGAAAAGAAGCTCAGATGTGAGTTATTGTTCTGCATTTGTGAATCCAAACACTTTTTCAGTTTCTGACGCTGATTTTCATCTGAGTTGACTAAATTCCACTTCCAATATGATACAACTATGTGAAAGCTACAAGCTCTCATAACATCAACTAGAGCGCCTGTTCAGACAAGATTCGTATTCAATCAAATAATGACAGGACACTTTTTGCTGACTAAATTTGTTTTAAAAATTGGTTTTAGAATTAATGCCTTAGAACCCATTTTCGAAATGAGTAAAATTTTAGCTCTCTCAGACTACGACTTTACAAACCAATTAGTATCCGATCCCTTAATTCTTCTTCGTGCATCTTTTATCCTCCTCGTTGCTTCTTCTCGGCCTCATTCCCCTGTTATGGGAACACTTTCAGACGTTGAAAATAACTCATGCTTAAATTACCAATCAGTCGGTGCATCTTTCACTACACACAAATCATCTTCGAGATCATATCGAAGTATTTCGCGTTTTCAGTAATACAGAAGCCTTTATTGAAATCTCTGTTAACATTTCCTCCAATATAGCAAAAAAAAGAAAAAAATGGAGCTGGGAATGATATTTTCATGTACAACACGCTTCGAAACTACCGCAGGATAGGCTATTTATTAGCAGGAGAGAAATATTCCTTGAGTGGAATATATGGTTTTACACAGATACGTCAAGCGTTTAAGCAGAATATTGGAAAATGAAATCGTCTCCCGTTCTATGGAATGGCAAGAAAAAAAATAAAAGTCAGTGAAGAGCTAAGTAACAGGATATATCGAACTTAAATAGCAAAACCCAGTAGACAAAGAGTAACAAAAACTTCAGCCTTTTATATCATTACTGAGTTCCTTGAAGCTTTCTTCTTTCACCTAATAATAAACTTAAATGCTTCCTTTGATCAGTGATACGAGGAAAATGAAGACTCTACATATAAAGTACCTCAACATTAAGTGCCCGAGAAAATGCAAATAAGTCGAGGAATTACTGATCAGCAAAATTTGCAGGCATTCATGGCTTACAGAACATTGCTGATAAAGAAAGTGCGCTATGCACCGTTAATTTGTAACAGAAATCACTGCCACCTGCAACAGTCTCAACGCTTCTCGCCATGATCGGCGTGATTCATAGATTTTCATCCGAGTTGCAAAATAAACTGTTATCGAAGTGTGGGTAAGGGCACAGTGAAGATTGGGTCATCGGCTTCCAGAATTTCAGCATGAACTTTACTCCGTCTTAGTATTGTAGATGCGATTACTTTTGTATATGGATTTTTGAATAGATAGAAAGAGACATGTGAAATTGTGTTGTGAGGTGCACATGTTTTTTAATTTCTGCATTTTTGCTAATATTAAAAGGAGCAACGGTAGGAACAATTATTTCTCAGCTAATCACTACCGTTTTAGGTGAAGATACTAATATTGGTAATGTAGCAACCTGAAATATGTCTTCAAAATTGAATGTAAGTGCTTCGCATATTTGCAATTTTTTTCAGATATTTTCAAGACTAACTTGATATTAGCCAAAATAGAGTCGTTACTCTGATTTGCATATAATATTGAAATAATATTCAGGAAGATTCTGGGAGTGTCGAGAATGGTTCTACAAGTTTCCAAAAGCTGCTTGAATGTATTCAAGCTTGGGAACCGAAGCTGACTTTTATTGGTGGAGGTAGGATAGCAACCGCTCTCATCTGTGGTTTTGAATCTGTTGGTAAGTTGCACTTCTCAATGTGAACTCAGACTATTCATAAGGAATGAGGTACTATGTAGTTACTATAGGCTCACTCTTCTGTAACTTAACCTTTAACACGTTACACTTGTCATTTCACAGCATCAGATCAAATCTAACGGCAAAACAGTAGTGTTTTATTTTCCTTGATATTTGATTTTGTTTCATTACTATAATGGAGTAGTCATAACTGATTAAAGAAGTTTGCTTGTAGCTGTTTGTTTGCTTGTAATTGTCAAGATAAACATTTAATATACTGAAGCAGTTACGTATCATTCAGGTCTCATGACTAAAGATGACCCTCAGCGTTAAAACAGCATCATCCGCAGAGCGATGGAAGGTATGATATGTTTAAAAGATTTTATGAAAGGTTTGAAAATATGGATCTGCTTGCCACAACTCATTTAAAGTGCCTTTTTATTATAAATTACATTTTGCTAAAGAACTGAAATTACAGCGGTTGGGATATGTAAATGTGTACGCGTCGAACGAATTCCTAATTCGAGCTCATGGCCAAGGTGTGCATTGCATAATTCATTTGCATTCATAGTACCGCCAACGACTTCTTCAACCATTTGATAATGATTAGTATGATTTGTGAAATTAAGTTCCACTTAACATTTATATGCTCTTTGGTCTACATTCTTTAATATTGAATTTCTTTACGCATTAGTAAGTGATAGCAACTTAGCAAGATTAGTTTGAATAAGTCATGTAGATTCGTAATAGCGATTTAAATATTATGAATTCGATGTAAGTTCTGACACATTTTTTCCATGGAATTAATTTTCTTAGAAAACCATAAATTTCTTCTACTTAATTTTTCATTTGTATTTTGTCCGCACGTTTTTATCATCCATTTTACATAATTCTTTCACTCAGTATCATCGAACTGGGGAATCTTTATAGTGACCTTCATCATCATGAATGGAAATTCATCAGAATAATTAAAATATCGTGATTTTCAGGAATCGTTTTTTGTCGGTAAAACCACAGATGCGCACGGCAATGTTGGAGGAATTGAGCAAGAAGGCATTTACGGATACTCCATTAATTGTCTCTGTTATGGGTGGAGTTGACGTAAAGACATTGGAGAAAGAAGTATATTTGCTTAGAGTTACTTTAGAAATTCGCTGTTAATTCAGAGTTTTTAATGCTGAGATCTTTCTGTGACAGATGCTTTTGTGATAATCAAAATGAGTCATTAGAGCTGTAAATGGAAACAAACAGTTTTAATTTGGACTGAGGAGCCGAATGAATGAATATTTCATACCTTAAATGGTTAGGAACCCATTTTTTTAATGTGACATTGGGGCCGTAGCGTAGTTTTTTAGATTGTGTAACTAGTAAGAGACGTGTCTATCTTCTTTCAGCTTGTTTGATATGGTATTTCTAATCGATCTGGCAGTTTTAAAGGAATTTAAGGTTGCGACTAAAGGTTATATCTCACGTGGAGTAGTGCATCTAATGCCAAATCTTCCGGTTTCTGTATTTTCTGCAGCATCGATTATGTGCTGTAGCTCATGCCTGGTGGAGGAAAAGGTTCTAAGTCTTTTTCTCTTTTTTTTAATGGTCTTATTTGAATATGAATCTCCATGAAGTAAGAGGAAAATGGAATGAATTTAAAGTACATGAATGTCAAAAGGCTCATGTATGCTGGTAGTCTTTTAAAGATTGATTTAATTAAGTGTATCATGCAACATGTTGGTATTTGTTTGGTAGTCAATGAGAAATCATTTGATGCGGCTGGAGCAGTTGCAGGGTGTGGACCAGCTTTTGTTAGTTCCGGTGCCGTTTCTTTGAGAATGTTTCTTGTTTTGAAAAGTGAGCTCGTAAAGCAAAGCCTCTTTAGGATATCAGTCTGTATAAAAAACATCGCAAGTTGTGACGTTGCTGAGTTTCAGGTGTTCATGGCAATCGAAGCATTATCAGATGGGGGTGTCCTTGGTGGTATTGATCGTACTGCTGCAATGAAATTGGCTGCTCAAACTGTTATGGTGAACTTTATTTCTCCGTATTTTTAGGCATTTTTGAGCGTGTTTGAGGACTAATAGAAGAGGTCATTCGCATCATTTCTTTCTTTCCATACGATGCCAACATTAATTATTCTGGTAGAATAGAATGTCAGGCTCAGTAGTGCTGAATAATCCATTTGTGTCCATTGCACATGGATTGTATTGATTTGTCATTTATTCCTTTTTATTAGGGTGTGACGCCGACACAACGTAATTTATACGAGTTAGTGTTGACGCCATCTTTGTATTAAATTTAAATTCTGGTGTTAAGTGTAAAATCCAGCGAATTTTACATACGTAACTTTATTATTACAGGGGGCGGCAAGAATAGTATTAGAAGCGAGTGAACATCCAGCTGCTTTAAAAGATGACGTTTGCTCTGCTGGTGGTAGTACGATATATGGGGTGAAGGAATTAGAAAAAAATGGTCCTCACTTTTTTACTTAAAATTATATCCTGTCAGAGTTGTTTATTGTTTCAAAGTATCATTCTTTTCTTATTTCCAGGTTTTCGCTCTGCATTAATCGAAGCAGTGCATGCTTCAACAAAACGGAGTTCAGAACAGGTTTAGAATTTGTCTTCAAACAACAATCACTTTCTCAGAGTCCGCCGTATTATCTCCTTTTTTTTGCAACCCGGAAAAATGTTTAGATTTCAGGGACCAGAAATTGCATAATTAATGTCGATTTGACGCACTTTTGCATTTTTTTAAATTTCAACTAATATATTTACTTTGCAAATATATTTATAACCTTGGTCATGTTGCTGGTTAAGGTTTCTTGCAACTTGAGAATTTGCATGAATGAATATTTAATAGATCCAATAAACCAGAGAAATCTTATCCTCTTTTCCACTACGTTGTTTGAACTACTGAGATATTATACGCAGCATTTCGTTTCGGATGAGAGGTATAAATTTGTGAATAGGCTGACATCATGCGAGCAAAAAAGGAAGCTTTCATGTTTTTACTGGTCCACTGTGCATTCGAGAATCATTACATTCCAATTCCACGTACTTCCACTTCCAATTTCTTGTCGCTAACTGATGACGAAGTTTATGGTTTCTCTATAACTCATCCATTGATTTTCAGTGGTTGTATTACTGATATGTCCGACCATTTACCACTTAGTTCGTTCCCGTCATCATCTCGACATCTGCACACTTTTATGATTTTGCCGATATTTTGTTATTTTTGGACTTGTTTTTTCTTTATATGTATAAAGTGTTATGTTATATATATGTTTTTGCCAGAGGCGCTACTAATAATCTTGAGATTGCAGCAGAAGGCATTGGACCTAGTATTAATTCTACTTTCGGTTAAACCGTTTTGGTGCATGAAACGTGACTTATTCAGATTTGGCGATTGCTCTACAGAGCGCTTCAAGTGCTGAAAGCGTGTAGAATAAGTCGTGAGTTAATCTCAACACACCGGGCTTGAAGATTCAATGCTCGGACCATGTAATTCTTCAGCCATTAGTGTTTGGCACCATCTTGTTTGCTCTTTCGGTGAATCGTAACTATGCAACTATATCATCGTAGACGGTTCTCCCGTGAACTTTGTTTTTCCTTTAACGAGTAAAAGTTCAGTTGGAACGTTCACATTTCAGCGTAGTGCGGGTTATTTTGTAGTGAAGTTGAAGTTCGAATTTGCTTTCATACAGAAAAAATTTGTTTTAAATTAACAATAATAGAGTTTTGACTCCCCAGAGAAAAAAATTGTTTTAAATTAACAGTAATAAAGTTTTTGATTCCACCGGAGAACTCATTTCGACACTCAAGATTTCCAAATAAACTGCTTGTATTGTTAATTGTACCTGATTGCAACTGCTAGAATTCACTTTCATTTTGAATTGATTCCCAGCAGGTGTATATCGAGAACGAATCCAGCCAGTTGTTATAATTATTCTAGACCCAAAATTTTTCACCTCTGGTAGAGGAATTGAATTATGTATCCCACCAATCTATGGCAATGTCGGATGATTCATATCCAAGGCACAGAACAAGTTAAAAAATCAGCCAGCTTACTAGGACTTGTAAAGGCATGGTAACTCATGTACATGGACCGTTGAAATCCGACTACAGGTTGCTCGGGAGTTTTCATTGAAATAAGGTAATACCGGAAGAATGCGAAGCACAAGCAATAAATAGATGGCCGTGAGGCGACATTCAGTTAGTGTCTGCAATTCCTTAAATATAAGTAGATGGAAAAAAAACTGGGAATTGAGTTATGCTCTTTGGCATGATTTCTAGACCTTCGGCTTGACATCATTTTAGTCCATATCGGGATGTTACATACGTTTCCATTGTTCTATCTAGATTAATTATTAAAAATATCCCAGCATCTGTTGATCGTAGCATCATCAGTCGCAAATCATCTATCTGTCAAGGAACTTCGCTCATTTCATTTCATCGTCCTGTAAGACCTGAATTTCCTTCACTCAATTACTCCCAATTGCACTGTTTACTTGTTTTGCTTCCTTATTTTCCCGATTTCATAAATTCAACTCATCCACAGTTTTTCAGTTCTTATCCGTCGCTGCTATTGTATCTTCGTATAAAACACTGTTGAAGAGTTGAAAATTTAAATTCAATAAAAAACTGCGCATCCAATTAACACAAGAAAAGCATTGGAATGAGCAAATAAATGAGCGGAGTGCATATTTGGTACACGTATGTGTGTGTGTGTGTATGTGTGCGTGTGCGTGTGCGTGTGTGTGTGTGTGTGTTTGAGTTCATGCACATATTTGCGTCTATATTATTCGTTAAGCTGTCTGTGGGCTATCTCAGTTGTGTCAACAGATATGATAACCTAACATTCACGTGTATGCGCTTGCTGGGAATTTCCGAGATAAATTTAGTAAAAACTCATCCTCTCTTGTTGACATGGTTTACGTGTATTTTCTTCCATTAACTTTGTCGATTGAATTATCCCATGTTCCAACCCACTTTGTTTCGCAAAATCCTTTTGTGCTGAACAATTTCATGTCTTCTTATATAAAATTAAAATATGTTTAAAATTTAAAAGTTCAATGAAGTGTAAAAGCCAAAGCTGGGATTAAACACTGGTATTTCTGTATTCCTAAAGTTAGCATAATTAACAAATGAACTATGATCTCTAGGCTTTTAAATATCAAATGCACATTTTATTCTCGAAATTTTATCCTTTACTTATGGATTTGGTAGAGTTAGCAGTAAGGCCGTTGCTAAGCAGAAAAGTTATTAATTGAAAAATATGAATTTGTGTGTATGTGCCAGCAATTACTGTTTAAAAAAATCCATACAGTACCATCGAGCAAATAGGTATTGCCCTAGAAATGATACTTTTTTTTCCTGGTAATAATTCTAACTGAACTACTTACACATGAAAAATATGTAATTATTGTTCATATATCTGTTTGGATATTTTCAGAGATATATGTTTTGTAAAATGTTTTTGTTTTGAGAGAGTGGAAAAGAATATGATAGATACAGAGATTTTTGTCACTAAAAAGTTTGTAATAAAATGATTTTTAGCATGGCAAAGGCAGAAAGATACATTTGCCAAAAATTGAATTCTGAACGCTGAAGCAATGCTTCTTCACAAATAGCACAGAAGAAGTTTCATTTTAAATGACAAGACGACAAGGTTTCAGCATTCTCTTGTATCCGGTCATTCGGGAATCTTTCCAGTCAGTGGATTCACCGACAATTAGATCATATCCTCACACATAAACATATATATATTCATGTATTCATGTACATATATTCAATATTCAGAATGTCACTTTAAGACTTGTACGTTAACATCATAAATTGTGCGAAGTACTGGAAAATAAAACTTCTAAAAGAGAAACTAAAAAAGCAATGAGAGTGATATAATTTGGGGCGAACAGCTGGACCACATGGAACGTATGTAGAAGGGATATTTGAGAAATGCACTTCTATCGATCTTTTCCATTTTTTTCTTTTTCTGCCAGTTATTTGGCAAGAAATCCATGAATTGACATTCATCAAATTAGATTTCTGAGCAAAATAGCGAAGTATGGAAGCGTCCTGTAGTTTCCCATCATTACACTCGCAAATCCATCTAAGAGTATGCAATTCTCCAAAACTTAAAAGTCAACTTTTCCCACCATTATGCAAAACTTCATCGGTGGAGTAGACTCATTCATCTACTATCATTTTAAAATATTTTTATTTCATCTATTTTCTTCTTCCTTAAACTTGCTGAAGCCTATTGTAAATTTTGCTTTATCCCTCACCATCCAATCAGGTAGATTGGTAACCCTTTACCGAATTCTTCGTATCTTTGTGACCTTTACTAAAACTTTTTTCGTTCAAGAGAAAAAAATAGAGACACAATGCTCTTGAAAGAGTGAAGAAGTATGATGAGTTAAAGGATCGCTGATCGAACTAATACTTTCCATTGAAATTCTGTGAATTCAGTTGGCAGACTCGAAACGATGCTGAAAGTGCATTTAACTCCCTTACTTTACCTCAAATGGAGAGTTAAATCCTTTCGATAGACACATTTTTCGAATTTGTATGTCATGAAATAAGGAACATTTTTTTATTTTCTGTGGTTTTTTTGACGGTGATCGTTAATCTTTAAAACTTTAATAGTTGTATTCAGTTTACTATGTAATCGAAAATAACAAAGGTAGTGGGAAAAATGAATAAAAATGCAAACATTGCTCTAATCTACGCATAAACTTTTGGTCTGCAAAGATTGAAATGGTTATGAATGTAAATAAGGAGACAGCAAAGAGCAATTATGAATGGAATATATTTGAAAAAAGCTCAGTTGAAAATTCTATCAATTATAAAATTTGTCGGATTCATTTAAGCATTGAATAGTCTGTCACGTTTGTGCGATTTTATTTTGATTGTCTTTTCCTACTTTTTCATTTTCGGTATCCTATTTTTAATATTAGATATCAGGTAAAATTGCTACTACTTAGAGCTTTACCAAAAAACAGCTATCATATGTTGGTATGCTGGATATCATTGATAACTTAATTTTTCGAGATCTTTTTTAATTCTCTTTTTAACCTCTTCCTGTTTACCTTGGCACTCATTCACAATGCGGAATTGAAAAGAATTACTCCATAAAGTTTCAGTGAGAAATATCCTTTACGTTGTGTCTACTAACTTTAATTTTGCAATGCTGTAATAAGTAAACGAAATAAATGCGAATAAAAGGTAATTTTTCAACATTAATCAAAATTGAGGCACAAAATGTGGTATTAAAAATTGAAAGTGGCATTGATAAGAATCATTCATAAATTCTTTGAAGGTTGAAGTAATATTTTCTGACGAAATTTTCCTCGTTTAAGGGAACTACTTGGCTTTTTTAAACAGTACCATAATGAAGGAACAAATGAGCTATGTATGAGAAGGCGCATCTACAAGTGGGAGTTATCCTGAGATTTAGAATTGTGGATTTTAGACGAAGATCTTAATGAATTACCTTTTTTTCCGTTTCAGTTTTATTTTTTGTTATGAAGAACATGAAGCAGAACGATTTTTTCTGTAATTCACAGTTATTTCACTTACGATATTCTGATTGATCCGATTTTCAGCGTTAAAGCA